GCTCAGGGATTTCATCATGAGGCCAATGGTGACTTTAAAATAGTTAGAGAGTTTAATGGCTGTGATAAGAAAAAACTGAGGATGGATCAACAACATTGTAGTCACTCTACAATACTAACCTAAATGACAGAGTGAAAAGAAGGAAGTCTGTCCATAATAAAAGTATTCAAAAAAATGAATCCTGTTTGCAATAAGGCACTAAAGTAAAACTGGCAAAAATGTGGCAAAGAAATTAACTTTATGTCCTGAATACAAGGCGTTATGTTTGAGGCAAATCCAACACAACACATCACTGAGAACCACTCTTCATATTTTCAAGCATGGTGATGGCTGAATCATGTTATGGGTATGGTTGTCATTGGCAAGGACTAGGGAGTTTTTTGGGATATAAATAAACAGAATCGAGCTAAGCACAGTCAAAATCCTGGTTCAGTCTGTTTTCCAACAGACTCTGGGAGACAAATTGTCACGTTGTATAATGATTTGAAGACAGGTGCAGGAATACGTATTAGGGTTTTTATTACTCCACCCAACACAAACACGTATATATATATATATATATATATATATATATATATATATATATATACAAAAGGGATGTAACCCAAACAAAGAGTGAGGCGTAACCTCTACACAATACACGGGACGAGACCCGTAAACAACAAGAGCACAATACACGGTACTCACGAGACCAACGGACATGGGACAATAATCGACAAGGACAATGGGGAACAGAGTGCACATATATACACATACTAATCAGGGGGAATGGGAACCAGGTGTGCGTAATGAGACAAGACAGTCTGGGGTTGGTGGTAATGATCCATGTCAGCGATGCCAAGAAAGCCGATGATGTAGACCTCCGGAACTGGTGAATGGAATGAGCAGCAGTACCGAGGGGATCCGTGACAAAATTCCCCTTTCAGCAGGACAATAACCTAAAACACAAGGCAAATATACACTGGATGTCACGACTTCCGCCGAGGCTGCCTCCCCTCCTTATTTGGGCAGGTTTCGGCGTTTGTCGTCACCGGCTTACTAGCTACTGCCAATCCCATTCTCATCACTCCACTTGTCATGTCTTGTCTTGTCAATCACACACACCTGGTGCTCATTCCCCTAATTAGTATGTGTATAAGTGTTCCCTCTGTTCCCCTTGTCTTTGTAAGTGATTGTTTCATTGTGAGAGCGAGTAGCTCGGTTGAGCTACTCTTCCATTTGTTATTGCCAAGGTGGAATATTTCCCTTGTGATAGTTTCGTATTGACGCTGGGTGCGTTTTATTTATATAAACGGAATAAACTCTGGACTTCGGTGTTTTACCTCCTGCACCTGACTCCTTCATTCACACCTCATCACACTGGAGTTGCTTACCAAGACAACATTGAATGTTCTTGAGTGGCCGAGTTACAGTTTTTTTAATTTGTATTTTTTATTTCACCTTTATTTAACCAGGTAAGCCAGTTGAGAACAAGTTCTCATTTACAACTGCGACCTGGCCAAGATAAAGCAAAGCAGTGCGATAAAAACAATAACAACACAGAGTTACATATGGAATAAACAAAAACAAAACGTATAGTCAATAACACAATAGAAAATCTATATACAGTGTGTGCAAATATAGTAAGTTATGCAGGTAAGGCAATAAATAGGCCATAGTGAAAAATAATTACAATTTAGTATTAACACTGGAGTGATAGATGTGCAGAAGATGATGTGCAAATAGAGATACTGGGGTGCAAATGAGCAAAATAAATAACAATGTAAATAACAATATGGGGATGAGGTAGTTGGTTGGGCTAATTACAGATGGGCTGGGTACAGGTGCAGTGATCGGTAAGCTGCTCTACCAACTGATGCTTAAAGTTAGTGAGGGAGATAAGAGTCTCCAGCTTCAGAGATTTTTGCAGTTCGTTCCAGTCATTTGCAGCAGAGAACTGGAAGGAATGGCGGCCAAAGGAGGTGTTGGCTTTAGGGATGACCAGTGAGATATACCTGCTGGAAAGCATACTACGGGTGGGTGTTGCTATGGTGACCAATGATCTAAGATAAGGCGGGGATTTGCCTAGAAGTGATTTATAGATGACCTGGAGCCAGTGGGTTTGTCGACGAATATGTAGTGAGGGCCAGCCAACGAGAGCATACATGTCACAATGGTGGGTAGTATATGGGGCTGGCTTTGGTGACAAAACGGATGGCATTGTGATAGACTACATCCAATTTGCTGAGTAGAGTGTTGGAAGCTATTTTGTAAATGACATAGCCGAAGTCAAGTATTGGTAGGATAGTCACTTTTACGAGGGCATGTTTAGCAGCATGAGTGAAGGAGGCTTTGTTGCGAAATAGGAAGCTGATTCTAGATTTAACTTTGGATTGTAGATGCTTAATGTGAGTCTGGAAGGAGAGTTTATGGTCTAACCAGACACCTAGGTATTTGTAGTGGTCCACATGTTCTAAGTCAGACCCGCCGAGAGTAGTGATTCTAGTAGGGCGGGCGGGTGCAAGCAGCGTTCGATTGAAGAGCATGCATTTAGTTTTACTAGCGTTTAAGAGCAGTTGGAGGCCACGGAAGGAGCGTTGTATGGCATTGAAGCTTGTTTGGAGGTTTGTTAACACAGTGTCTAGTGAAGGGCCAGATTTTTACAAAATGGTGTCATCTGCGTAGAGGTGGATATGAGAGTCCCCAGCAGCAAGAGCGACATCATTGATATACACAGAGAATAGAGTCGGCCCGAGAATTGAACCCTGTGGCACCCCCATAGAGACTGCCAGAGGTCCAGACAACAGGCCCTCCGATTTGACACATTGAACTCTATCTGAGAAGTAGTTGGTGAACCAGGCGAGGCAGTCATTTGAGAAACCAAGGCTATTTAGTCTGTCAATAAGAATGCAGTGATTGACAGAGTCAAAAGCCTTGGCCAGGTCGATGAAGACGGCTGCACAGTACTGTCTTTTATCGATCGCAGTTATTATATCGTTTAGGACCTTGAGTGTGGCTGAGGTGCACCCATGACCAGCTCGGAAACCAGACTTTACTGAAATTAGCTTGAAAATCTATGGCAATACTTGAAAATGGCTGTCTAGCAATGACCAACAACCAACTTGACAGAGCTTGAATTTTGTTTTAAAGAATAATGTGCAATATTGTGCAATCTAGGTGTGCAAAGCTCTTAGAGATTTACCCAGAAAGACTCAAAGCTGTAATCACTGCCAAAGGTGATTATAACATGTATTGACTCAAGGGTGTGAATACTTATGTAAAATGTATACAAACATGTTTTCACTTTGTCATTATGGGGTATTGTGTGTAGATGGTTGACCCAAAAAATATATTTAATCAATTTTGAATTCAGGCTGTAACACAACAAAATGTAGAATAAGTCAAGGGGTATGAATACTTTATGAAGGCACTGTAATCAAGGCCCTCCGCCACCCGAGACACGGCCTGTTCACCCCATTACCATCTAGAAGGTGGAGACAGTACAGATGCATCAAAGCTGTGAACGAGAGACTGATAAACAGCTTCTATCCCCAGGACATCAAACTGTTAAACAGTCACCACTAAATGACCTCCACCCCACAGGAGGTTGGTGGCACCTTAATTGGGGAGGACGGGCTCATGGTAATGGCTGGAGTGGAATAGGTGGAATGGTATCAAATACATCAATCACATGTTTGATGCCATTCCATTAGCTCCGTTCCAGCCATTATTATGAGCTGTTCTCCACTGCTCCACCCAGTACCCTGCCCTCTGGCCAGTACCCTACTCTGCCCCTCAGTCACTGTCACTAGCCGTCTACCATCGGGTACTCTACCCTGCACCATAGGGACTGCTGCCATATGCACATAGTCATTGAACACTGATCACTTTAAATATGTTTACATACTATTTATATATCTGCTGTACTACATCAAATAAAATAAAAATGGTGTGCTTGTTGACATTTACTGCATTGATTGATAGGAACTAGGAACATAATTTCGCTGCATACGCCATAACACCTGCTAAACCTGTATACGTGACCAATACAATTTGATTTGATTTGATTTAGAACCTTGGCAAATTACAGCTAAATACAAACAAACCTGTCCAATAAATCCACAATGTACAAAACCAAGGATACAATGCCACTCGGATGCTGTGCACTCTGCAATACATTTTACAAAACTTGTCTAGTACAATACCAGAGAGGTTATACAGAGACCCAAGGTATTGTGCAGTGCTTCTCAAAGCAGACCTCTGGCTTAATTTAACTTCAGGCAGTGCTTAGCAGCACCAAGAAGACAGGACATTCTCCACTTTCCTCTCAGCCCTAAGCTAGCCTCCACAACCTGCCTGGCGAGTGAGATCGATAAAAACAATACTCCCATTCTCTTCATGGGGCACTTCACCCGGTTTAACACCCATGAAAGCCTAACACCGCCACACTTACTGGCTGGAAAGGGTAGATAATGTATGCAAAGGATGTGTTGGAAGTGAGAGGGGGATGAAATGAAAAAAGAAGGATGAATTTTCCTTCACATAAGCACAGTGTTCCATTATGCAGGCATGTAGCGCTTGTGGATCTTTTACCAGTGTGCATTTTGATACACGCTGCTTCGGGAAGCTATCCTTTTAACAATGTATGAGGTATGAGGTAAAAATTAGACTTTCCACACTCTAAGACTGCCTCGCTACGGCATTGCGCACGCTGTTAAGATTGGAAATGTGATTTTATCCACACAGGTATGGAAATGGGGAGGCATTGAAAGGAATGCTGATAGATTTGCATAGGTACTTTAGAGTTGTACCGCGACGGGGGAGATGAAATCCATACCTGGGCTGATATTGAAAGCATGGTGTCTGTGTGTGGAATTGCTCAGCAGAGGACAGCACAACTAATTTGCATTTCCATTGTGCTGGCTAGCCACGATGCATGAGTGACCTGTTCCTCTGGCTGATGAGAATAATCCTAAGTAAGGCGGTGTGTGGTTGAATCAGTATTCCTATTCTTAATACCATCAGTATCTGCCATTTTGGGGACCTCGTAGACCCTTTGACTTGTGACCCACATCAGTCTCTGGTTGGTGCCACCTATGGGTGCATCTTAGTGCCCCCATAGATCTCAGAAGGTCCTGATGTGTTTTGGGGTTATCCATAGGGGTTCTAATATGGGACGAGCTCCCAACGTACAGCGACAGGGTGGACCTGTGCACAACCTGCTTTTTTCCCTCTGGCTGTCCTATGGAGATCGACAGTGACTTGTCCAGATACAGGACCAAATTCGCAGACCTCAGAGGTACCTCAAGCTGGACGCAGGAGTGGAAAGAGGGTTGTAGAGACAAAGGCCTGTAGGAGCTTCCATTGTCCTTGTGCCTGTCCCCACCTATGTAACTGTGCTTGTTCAGGCCTGGCAGTCCTCGTTCCCGGCCTGCTCATCTGGACCCTGTCACCTGCATAGTAGCTCTGTCTGTACTCTGTCACCTTCACTATGGTGGCATTGTGTCTGGTCACCAACTCAGAGTGCTTTAGAATGGCTGAGGACAGGACAGGACTCATGACTGGGTCTAAAGATATGGATGACCTGACAGGCTGGATCAGGAGGTGGGGATAAAGGGCCTCCTGTGATTGGCTGTCCCCTGACTGGGATACCCTGTGGGATGTGATGGTGATGGAGGAGAAGCCTGTCTTTGATTGGCCGCCCAGGACATCAAGCACACTGTCTGTCCTCAGCATGGTTGGACTCCCTCTGTGGGGGTACATGTCCACCCCTTTGGAAGTCCCCAGAGTGTGTTGGCCTCAGGAGGGATGGTGATGTGGAATCTCTCTCCCCCTGTCCTCTCCATGGTAGGGCATCCCTCAGCAGTGAGGGGGTGGTTTCCTTCGTGGAAGTCTAAGGAGCGGGAACCCAGAGGAAATATCAGAGCTGTGTTGAAAGAGTTGGTCTAAATACAGTGCATCTATCAGGTAAATTAAATAGAGTGAGGGAAACAAATACAAGGCTTTTCCCCGTGATATATTCTAGGGATTAGTTATCGGCTTTCCTGCTCTCATTTTGAGATCTGCTTTTGTTACCATGGTGATGTGTAACCTGATGGCCAACAGTCAGCGACAAATTAACCATGACATTTAACATGGACGTTCCAGAATATGCTGGCTATCCAGGTTAACACAGGATAATGAAGACAAGTCAAGTGTGCATGAGCAACTGAAACTAAAATAATTGTCACACTTTCACTTCATATCAGGCATTGTGTCATATTAGTGGTTAGTTCACTTTCATTCTCTGTCACATAGTGGATTTGCAGGATAGTGGTTAGATCACTTCCATTCTCTGACACAATAGTAGACTCGCACGATGGTTTAGGACTTGCAGTTAACATAAGGGCTGTTTTTTGCAGTGAAAACAACCCATGGCTTGTCCAAGCACAATAACATATCCACGAGTTCCTGCATAAAATTGCACTCATGTTGACTCAGTCTGAGGACCAGGGCAATGCGCAGTGGGTTTAGAACAAAAACAACAAAACGGTTTTTTAACCCAAAACAAAAGGCCACTTTAGAGACTGGAAGGACAAAGGGGCATGTGCTCTGCATAGGTAGAGCCCTATCTGTGCATGTGTCTGCTGAGGACTGCATGTTTCACAAACTTAATCAAATTGATTTTAATGGCAAAGTTCCTCTCCTGACTAAAACCAACTGCTGAGCTAGTGAATAGCCTCCTTGTCTAGATGGCATACATCTAATTAGAATAGCAAGGAATACATGGCCATGATGGATGTTTTGACATGCATTAGTTCAGCATCATAAATTGTACTAAAACATAGTGATGATGTTGATAATGATGATATTACCATGTTCAAACATATACTTTCTAAAACTGATACACATATGGATAACCATATACAGATGTAGGATTTTATTTGAGCCAGTGTGCTACAGCAGGAAAATAATCCTGCAGCAACAGGAAATGTGAATTATTATGTGGATTATAATGAATAGACATTTTTGTAGGGGTTGATAAATTTTTTGTTAGGGCAAATCAAGTCAAATTTGAAATGTTTAAAACTCAAAAACACCACAAGTTTGCAGGAAAGTTTTCTTATTTGTACTTATTCACTTGAAGTTAATTTGTACAGGAATACAAACTTTGTAAAGCTAACAATAATAAGACAAGTAGAGTACTATGATAATAAATCTATCGCAGCCAGAATAGTATAACGGTTTACCTCGTTGATATTAGGTGTTGATAGGCTGGGGAACCCCCTACTTCAAAACCCATGGACATGGACCAATTCGCTTGTAGCTTTCCATCTGAAAATTCAACATGACGGTAAACAAAAAATATATAGCCTACTGCTTGTTTTAGACATTAGAAAAAGAAAAACAAAACATAACAGGCAAGTCCTCAAAGCACTTACACGTTTCCTCACTGAAACATGTATCTCAGAGAAGAAGCCCACTATTATTTTCTCTGCCCACTTTACAATGAATGACAAGAGGTCAGTTGTCCTATACCCGACGAAGAGGAGACAGACAATAGGCCTACAGCTATCTTGTCTGGGCTGTAATAGGAGAGATGACCCTGGCTGTACTTGCCTAGTAAAATATTAATTATTCCTCATCACCTCACCTGGCGCTCGCATTTCTCAAGATGTGTTTAATCTAGAGCACAAGATGATGAAGTAAGTCAACTGCAGCTTATTGATTTACAGCCTACCTCAATGTGCAACGGAATTTTATAGGCCCAAAGTTATTACACATCACATTTTCTTATTTTTATTTCCTGCTCATTCCATTACATCAACATTGAAGCACTTAATAGATTATGTTCCTAATTTAATATTTATGGATTTATCAATATTCGCTATATATACAAAAGTATGTGGACACCTCTTCAAATTAGTGGATTCTGCTATTTTTGCCAAACCCGCTGCTAACAGGTGTATAAAATCAAGCACACATCCATGCAATCTCCATAGACAAACATTGGCAGTAGAATGGCCTTACTGAAGAGCTCAGTGACATTCAACGTGGCACCGTCATAGGATGCCACCTTTCCAACAAGTCAGTTAGTCAAATTTCTGCCCTGCTAGAGCTGCTCCGGTCAACTGTAAGTGCTGTTATTGTGAAGTGGAAACATCTAGGAGCAACAACGGCTCAGCCGTGAACTGGTAGGCCACACAAGCTCACAGAACGGGACCGCCGAGTGCTGAAGAGCGTAATGCGTAAAAATCGTTTGTCCTCAGTTGCAACACTCACTACTCCAAACTGCCTCCGGAAGCAACTTCAGCACAAGAACTGTTCATCGGGAGCTTCATGAAATGGGTTTCCATGGCCAAGCAGCCGCACACAAGCCTAAGATCACCATGGGTAATGCCAAGCATCGGCTGGAGGGCGTAAAGTTCGCCGGCATTGGACTCTGGAGCAGTGGAAACGCGTTCTCTGCAGTGATCAATCACGCTTCACCATCTGGCAGTCCGACGGTCAAATCTGGGTTCGGCAGATGCCAGGAGAACGCTACCTGCCCCAATGCATAGTGCCGTTTGGTGAAGGAGGAATAATGGTCTGGGGCTGTTTTTCATGGTTTGGGCTAGGCCCCTTAGTTCCAGTGAAGGGAAATCTTAACACTACAGCATACAATGACATTCTAGATGATTCTGTACTTCCAACTTTGTGGCAACAGTTTGGGGAAGGACCTTTCTTGTTTCAGCATGACAATGCCCCATGCATAAAGCGAGGTCTATACAGAAATGGTTTGTCCAGATCTTGACTGGACTGCACAGAGCCCTGACCTCAATCCCATCGAACACCTTTGGGATGAATTGGAAAGCCGACTGCGAGCCAGGCCTAATCGCCCAACATCAGTGCCCAACCTCATTAATGCTCTTGTGGCTGAATGGAAGCAAGTCCCCGCAGCAATATTCCAACATCTAGTGGAAAGCCTTCCCAGAAGAGTGGAGGCTGCTATAGCAGCAAAGGGGGGACCAACTCCATATTAATGCCCATGATTTTGAGATGTTCGACAAGCAGGTGTCGACATACTTGTGTCCACATATAGAAATTACAGCAAACTCATTTTTTGGTTTATGGATAGTATTTTAGTGAAAGGTATCATACACTGCAGACATGGATCTATTTAAAGAAAAACAGGGCTTTGTATTACTGAAAACAAGGGGGAAAACTCAATAATGCGTTGCCTTGACTAGGATGGTAAGAATGTGGTCACATCAGCGATGATGCATAAGAATTCTAGCAGAATTCACAGAGGGAGAACATTCCTGTTGCTTGGATTTCTCTGTCAACATCACATTTTAATTCCACACTAGGAGGCAAAAACAGACTCAGAGGAAATTCCGGAGAAATTTTAAAACTCCACGTAACTCCCTGGTCGTGGAGTGACTGACTTTGTTTTCAACCAGGGAGGTAAAAAATCTTACAATATTCATTACATATAAAATTACTACTGTAGGGGAGAGTGTGGTAAATTTAGCAGTTTTTTTACATTCAGCATAATTCAGTCAAGGAAAATATAGTATTTTTTCTAACAAAGATATTTACATATATATCAGGATGCTGTGTATCTGTCACGTCTCCTCCCGTGATCCCCTACTGGGCTCTGATTTGCCGGTCTACTGAGCCACTGGTCTGAGCACACCACCTCGGCAACACCGGAATGGAAACCCAACGCACCCTTATCACCTCCAGCGCACCTGCACCTCATCATCTCATCACCACCTCTATATAGCCCTGGACTGTTCAGCGTTGTGTTCTGTGTGATTGTTAGTGTCTTGTCGTGTATTCACTCTTTGTTGTTCTCTTGCTCAGTGTAATGTAAACCTTTACATTGTTGACTCCTGCGTCTTCATATCCTCAGTACTCGTCACAGCATCCCTGGAAATAATCAGAATTAATGTGAACTTTACAGTTTTGAAAACATAGGTATGGGGTAAGTTAAGCCGCCTACACATTTCTGTACTGAATTCAATATTACCACAACCTGTTTAAAAAGATGTCTATCTTTTATTTTCCAAACACAATTCAACACAATCACAATCGCTTTTTGTCTTTTAATCATTTAAGCATCTTTTAACACAGGCTTAACACCTAACAAACACTTTAAAAAAAAACATTTAACATAGGCCAGGCCCTGTTATTACCTCATATCCCAGTTATTACCTCATATCCCAGTTATTACCTCATATCTATAATGCCTTGCATTACTCCTGGGAAGAGAACCCTTCAATCTTTTCAACTTGCCATTGGCTCAACCATTGACTCAACTTACCCCATGGGCATTGGCTCAACTTATCTAAAGGGAAACATATTGACTATATTAACCCACACAACTACAAAGACTCATTTCATGCTAGGTTTAGGACCTCATATTGAAGAGTATAGAGACCCCAACTGATGCATAGAACAATCTTAAAACGATCTACTTTTGTTTAGATACAAGCATCATGAAACCTCTTACACAATACAATCATTTGAGTTGTTGAAAATCAGTTTTTTGGACCTAACTTGCTTACCACTTTTTCCATGTGGTTTGTTCCTTCACAGACTCCATGAAATGACCTCTTCCTAAATATTTGGTTGAATTATTAATTTTGTTTTGGCTCAGCTGTATCTTACCTGGTAGCGCAGGCTTAGGCTATCCAGGCTGGGTAGCTCAAATATGACTCCATCTTTTGTAAAGGAAGCCACCCGTTCTTAACTGAGGACAGAGTGGAGACTCTGACCTGTTCTCTATCAGGGGTACACCTGTTCCTGGCTGTCTCCAGGTACCCAGGGGGCCAAGTGGAAAGAGCTGCTTACTGGGGTCTGGAGCCAGGGTCATCTGACCAGTCAAGGCAATGTGAGTAGCCCTCAGGTGGGGTCAAGTCAGTTTCCTCAGGGTTAACAGTGACACTTCCTGTGTCCTGTCAAAATAAGGTTCCACCTCGTTCTGGATGGAACTCCCAGAGGGGTGAGTATGGAGCACTCCAGCGGCAGCCACAACTCCTCTCCTGTTCCACCACCCTCACCACACCGCTCAGACCTAGGGACGTGGGCTAACACAACCACCAGAGATCCCTGGCGCTTCAGGCAGTTGCTCTGGCCTAGTCTCTTCCTGTCCAGCTCTCTAATGGGCAGCCAGCCAACAATTCATTCCCCTGGGCCTGCAGCTCAGATAGCAGAACAGGTGACCAGCTCTCAGGTTTCGGAGCTTGCATAATAGGGTCCCACAGCACAAGTTATTAATGAGGGAGACAGATTCTCAAACAGCTCCTGTGGTTACAATAGTGACACAGCAAAAAAAAAGTGTCCTTTTCGTGTCTCCTGACTTACAGTGCTTACTCAAAACAGAGAGTTTAGAATGAGAGACACAATCCCAAAAGGTTCTGTGAGGGAAAAAAACATATCCCGGGAACTGGCAGACCTAGATATGAATAGACAAAAAGAAACCAAAGCAAACCTATAAATATACACCTAGAAATGCACCAGTGTAAAGAGTGCTGCATTTTTACTTGTTTCTCTCCTTTAAACTTTGCCAAAGTAGAGTAGTATAAATGTCAGAGTTCTCTGAGTTTACACTTATTCTGTGATAAAACAAAAACTGTTGAAAAATTCTATAATAGAAAGTTTCATTATTTAAGGCAACATTTTTGTGATTACGTATTATTTTTAAATTCCAAAAACTTTTACTTAACTCCCTTTTTTCAAATATGTGAACCAGCATTCAAAATCAATGGAACATTGGTATTCAAAATGAATGATGTCAAAGGTCCTCAAGGTAATTCTGACACTGTAGAGGCTGTTGTTGATCAATGGCTGTTATCCTCAGCAGCGGCAATTTTAAGCATGTAAATCTTGGTGGGGCAAACTCAAATTATTATTTTTTAGACGCATGCCAGCAAAGCCACTACACAACACTACATTAATTGCACCATAACGGTGACAAACGGTGCCCACACACTGTTATGGCCTATATAATGCTGTCCCAACAGCAGAGCTTTCTTTTCAGAACCATGGAGTGAATACTTACCACCACTACACCTGGCTATCAGCAGAGCCTTGTCTGGCAGCGAAACAGTTCATTCAGCCTCATTTACTGCCTTTAAAAATTTTTACATAGTCCATATGGCTGACTTGCTTAAACAAATGTGGTTTCTACGGACAATTAGATATACAAACTATGGCATAAGGGAACGATGAGCGGATAATCGAAATTGCGGATTGCCTCTTAAGACATTAATGAGTGAGCTAAGTCAATATAACTATTTGTTCAGCACTTTTAAAATGTACAGCAACAGAATTCAGAACATGGGACGTTCTTACACTATTCTCCCTGTACACCAAGTCAGAACCGTAGGATAGATAAAGGGGGTACATAAGCAGACAATGAAAGCTCTTACAATATTCAATGATGACATTTCTCTAAAACAGGCTATAGGCTAAATGTGCACCACCAAGTCAGAACAGTAGGCTAAGTTATGATGGGAAAGGGACCAAATTATTAGGGTGAGGCACATGGGCTACTAACAGCTTACTACACAACATACACTTAGTATTACCTTCTTAGCTACAGTATACATATCTCCCTGGCATATTACATCATTTATGGAGCAGCATACAGTACATCTTTTGACTTGTGCTGTGCTTACTTGAAAAGGAAGGTGGCACGGCGGTCCTTCTTGTGAGCACATTTTGTTTTGTCATCAAAGTCTGGCATTCTCTGCATTTATGGTGCTTTCAAGACAACTGGGAATTGAGAAAAGTTCCTGACTTGGAATTCGAGTTGGATGACCATTCAAAACGTATTTTCCTAGTCAGAGCTCGTTTCTTTCTGAGTTCCCAGTTGTCTTGAACTCACTGAAGTCTGAGATTTCCCAGTTCCGAGTTTCCAGTTTTTTTGAACAGGGCAGAAGTCATACATTGACAGCATGGTCAATGTATTCAAACTTTTCTGTCTCATGGTGTGTGAATGAAAAGAGACCCTTAAACCCATACTTGGACCACACACCCTTTCCACTGAATAGCAGGCAGGGGAAGCAAAAAAAATTGTGATTGCTTTGCAACGCTTGTAGTTAGCCACTGATTCCTTCCCAACCACTCATTGTTGAATTTTCAACTTGTGTAATGTTTATGTCCAATAGCCGATGAGCACCGATACGTTGTATCTATAATTTCTCTTCATATGACCAGGATTGAAAAGGATTTGCCAGTAGATTGTCGTCGTGATTCATGATGATGACTGCTTGTCTAGCTTGCTAGCTAAGATTTTGTAAGTATGATGTTGACATGATCAGTCCAATCAAAGTACTGTAGATATAACGTGATTTGACGTAATTTTATCTGTGGCCAATGACCTTGAGCCTTCTTGGATGGGCACTTCTAATGTAAATCTATGGCAGCACCTAAGGGAGCTTGAACTTTCTAGCTCTCCTTGTAGATTTTGCGGTGTCCCTATGAGTGACAGAACACTGAGTCAATCACAGGTCAACTAGATAAGATTACCAACCCCTACGCTCTGTATTCTCCACTGGCTGCCCCTCCACCACAGAAAGCACTGAGCTAGGCAGAAACACCTGCATTTTGGAGCTGCTTTACTCAAGAAAGCAATAAAGAGACCATGTTTGTATGGCTTTATTAACTCAATAAAACATTTTTTACATAGTTTTCAAACTGATATGTGACATGTATTAATGCCAAAATAAAATGCAAAACAGGCAACAAAGATTTTTTTTTCTTTTTTTTTTTTGCTAAACAGGTGGGGCTCAAAACAGGTGGGGCTCTGCCCTGAATGACGGGTCGCCACTGATCTTCAGGCATTGAGCTGATGTGAACTCTTCCATCAATTCTTAGGCCTCTCACCAATTAAACTCCATAGTCAAGTGCTGAGTGTTGTGATGATGTGGCTCTACCTAAAAACGCCACCAAAGTTTTAATTAACACATGCAGTATGTTCTCATTTCACAAAGTTGTTGAGTTGGTTACAGATTGATGAGAGGTAAAATCTGGCCATTCTACTATGATGTAATTGGTTAAGGTATCAAGCTGAGTAAAGCTCTCCCTTAAAGGCAAACCTGCCAGACCCTGTAAATCCTCCTGTGGGTATCGGCTAAGTGTACCAATAATGTTTCATGGTAGGTTTAACGATTAGCTCTATTTAAAGATTCATGGCTCTTTGACCACTCACTAATGAACTGAACACTAATGTTTTAGTCAGGGCACCAGCTCCATACTGATCCCAGCTCCTTTCTTTATGTTGTTGTTGACCCCTCACAGATCTGAAATAATTGAAGGTATCAGTGATATGGTATCATATCAATGATTTGATATGCTGTGTTTAGCTCTCCAGTGTGCTATGTGAGTTTTTGGCCATGCTCCTTACACATTAAAAAAAAAAACATTTTAGTCATTTAGCAGACACTCTTATCCAGAGCGACTTACAGTTAGTGAGTGCATACATTTTCATACACCTATCCATATCAGTTCCTTTAGGATTCTTTAGTAGTTGGCAAGTAAAAGGACAGAGGGATAGTTGCTATTGAGCCCATGCTCCATCTCTGGATTATTGGATATGCATTACTGTGTAATGCACAAGGAAATACAGTTCCAATCCACCACTAGAAGGCCGACGGTAAAACATTGTGAAAACAATACGCTACCCATTATTTCTATCAATACGCCAATATGACAAAGACAACATCAGTAAAACACACAACTATTATTCACAATGTAATCCATAGTCCACCAGTAGTTAAGTGGATGAATTAGAAAGAAGCAAACATACTTTTCTTTATACATGCAGAGGTAATGATCTGTTCTTGCATCGTAGGCTGCGTACCGCCTACACAACACTCATTCATAATGCACACCCCACAAGACATGCCACCAGAGGTCTCTTCACAGTCCCCAAGTCCAGAACAGACTATGGGAGGCACACAGTACTACATAAAGCCATAGCTACATGGAACTCAATTCCACATCAAGTAACTGATTCAAGTATTAAAATTAGATTTAAAAAACAGATTAAAAAAACACCTTATGGAACAGCGGGGACTGTGAAGCAACACAAACAGGCACAGACACATGCATACACACACACGATAACATACGCACGATACACACACATACACATGGATTTTGTACTGTAGATACTGTACGTGGTAGTGGTGGAGTAGGGGCCTGAGGGCACACAGTGTGTTGTGAAATCAGTGAATGTATTGTAATGTTTTTAAAATTGTATGAACTGCCTTAATTTTGCTGGACCCCAGGAAGACTAGCTGCTGCCTATGGTGATCCATAATAAATACAAATACAAAATAACAGGACACATTGTATAATGAACAGCCATAAGTCATAAGCAGCTTTTCTGACCAAGGCCATTATCATCACCAGAAGTAGAGAACACAAAGAAAGGGTTGAAAACAATATTTACTACGACATACTTGTTATGATTTTCCTCTCTCCTGAGAGAGATAATGCTATTATGTTAGCGCCCTCCAGTGGCAAAAGTTCTGTGCCATCAGAAGGGACATCAGAAGGGACATAGAGAGAGATTGACCAATTTCAATAATACAAAATATGTTTGATTGAGTTATGTCAATCTATTAACAGATTCATATTTTAGGAGTTAGTCCTTTAGATTATCAATCCATGCCGCAAATAATACAGAGGTTCTAAATGAGTTTATTTAGTAAAAATAGTCACTCCATCCTGCCTAAATAAAGGTTAAATAAAAATGCAATAAAATAAGTTGCTCTTCTGTCCTAATATTTTCTGTATTTGTTCAGGAGATACAGTATAATATCTGAGTATATCATGAGACACATAGGAGATGTGAATGAGGAGGCATACCATCATACAGTATGATCTCCTCAATGTGGGCCACTAAAGCCTCCTAGCTGTCTAAGTCATGCTTGGCTTCATTTCCTCTCACTCCCTGTGGAAATTGTGTTGCCACAGCAATTAGTAAGTGTTAAGGCATTGGTTAACAAATTAGGCGCAAGACCAGAGGACACTGGTCAGGTCAAGCATGACTTACAGACAGCTAGGAGGCTTAAGTGGCCTACACTGAGGAGATCATACTGCAGCACTCCACCAATCAGGCCTTTATGGTAGAGTGGCCAGACGGAAGCCACTCCTCAGTAAAAGGCACATGACAGCCCACTTGGAGTTTGCCAAAAGGCACCTGAAGGACTCTCAGACCATGAGAAACAATATTCTC